ACTCTGCTGAACAAACAGATAGCTCTGATTTGTGGCTAAAAAGGCGTTGATCAGAGCTATGCAGATAAAATGTGACCCTCACCCCCCTGCCCCACCACTGCTGTGCTGCTTCCCCTTGATCACCACTTTCCCCACAGATCCAACCTGATCCCTTGTGGCTACCCTGCAGCTACCAGCCACAGGGGCTTTTTAAAATATCTACATTCCTCCCTCAATCCCCCCCACTCACCGATTCTTCTTATTCTGTTTCCGGCGGCTCCCCTGGGGCTCCACCGAGCCCCTGTGGCTCCATCAATTCCTTGGGGCTCCCCTGATCCAGCAATCTGTCCCCTGGGGCTCCACTGATCCCCATGGGGCTCCACTGATCTGTCCCCCAGGATTCCATCGATCCACAGCATCTCTCCCCTGCTCGACAACTGTCCCCCTTCCACCTCCCAGTGGATACAGCTGATGGTGCACACGGGGGAAGCTGTCATCAAGATGAAGAGCAGGTGCAGTAATTTGGCCCTGCCGCTAATGTAAACAAAGGGGTAGGATCACCTGCTGACATCATCTATAGATGCCGCCCATTTCTCTACTTCAGTGGCAGGGCCGAATGATGGCTCCTTCTCTGGTGCTAACGTAAGCTAAACAAAGGAGCAGGCAATTATATTTAGAGCTGGCAATGACAGTCAAAGCAGCAAGTGAGAGAGCCTGTCTGTGCACACTGCCCCCTCACTGTATACACAGTTCCTCTCCTGCCCTCTCCTTGCACACACTGCCCCTCCCCCCTTGTATGCTGGACACACTGCCCCCGGTAGCTGCAGTTTTTTTTTTTATATCTGTTGTTTACATTCTGCTGTCAGTGGGGATTCCCAGTGCTGGTACCTAAAAATCAATGCAAAAACAGATGCAAAAATGGACTGTTTGTCCATTTACATCTGTTTAGGTCCGTTTTAAACCAAAATTAAAAAAATAGAGCTATTATCTGTTTAAAAAAAATTTTTTTACGGATGCGGATATAGACAGATGTAAACAGATGATCATCCGTTTACATGCATTTGTCCATAGACATGCATTGATGTCTTTTTTTCATCTGTCAATGGATGGATGACAAATGGATAAACAATCCACACATGTGAAAGAGGCCTTAGCTCTTCCCTATTACTTTTTTATGTCACATAATATTTGCGCAGCCTTTTATCAAACGTAAATGTTTAAGAAAAAATATACCTAACTGAATTTTAGTGCACACAGACACAATATATTACTCAATTTCTTGGTAAAATATAAAAGATGATGTTGTGTCAAGTAAATTGATACCAAACATGTCAATATTTAAAATTGCGCACACCTGTGAAATGGTGACAAACTATGGTACCTAACATTATCCATAGGCAATGTTTTGAGAGCCTTTACAGGTTACCAGTTTAGTGTTAAACATAACTTCTGGCACTAGAATTATTGCTCTCACTCTAATTATTATGGTAATACCTCACATGTATGAGGCAATCACCAATTACTTATGCGTGTGGGACCTATTTATTTATTTTATTTAAATGTCTTTTTTTACACTTTTTAACAATCTTTTTCATGCAACTTTATTGCTGACACAAGGGGTGAACACCTCTTGTGATAGCTTTGGCCAGTGACAGAAACCCTTTATGGAGAGATCAGGGGTCTATTAGACCCCTGATCTCTCTCCTGCTCTCCAAGGTAGCTAATCACAGCCAAATAGAGCAAAATACAGATCTGAAATTGGAAATGATGAAATCCTTATTGCTTCTGGCTTCATTCAACTTAGAGGAGATGAGGAAAATGAATATTTCTTCATCTCTTCTGTGGGCAATTGACTGTTTACAGCTGTCCCAAACTCACTTGTGGAATGGAAGAGCCTGGGAATGGTAGCAGATGGAGTCAGGAAGGGGGCCCTGTAAAAGTACTTGGGTGGCGGTAGAGCCACTTGAAAAACTCTTACCTGAAAGCCAGCCATCAGCTCTAAAAAATTCAGCTGTAGCCATAATCCTGGTATAATCACTTGCTCCTTAGGCCGTAAATATATTGCCCAAGGTTGTCAAGTGGTTAAAGTCGTAAAACTCTGAAATAAAAAATGAACAAAACATATACTTTTAGAGTGTGTACCAGCCTCAATCCAGAACAACTAGCGTGGTTCCTTTAAGCTTTCTCTTCACTCTGCTATCTGCATGAGTCACTCCTGACAGCTGACAGATTATGCCAACACCATACAATCCCGGAGTATGCCCCACCCCCTCCACCACACAGAAGGTAATTGACAGCCTTAGCTGTACATATTTTTCTATGAGACTGTCTAGAAGAGGAGTGTTCATTCTCTCCACTCAGGTCTCAGTTTACACTCAAGTCCCTGCTCTATGCTGGCAGTGTTTGACGTCAGATCTCAGTCCCATCTGCTGGAGCTGAAACGTAGTCTTTGATCTGTGTGGTTTTGAAGGCTGTAGAGGAGAGAGGGCTGTAGATAAACAAGCACAACTTATGTAGGAGGATATGTTTAACCCTTGTGCATTACCTATGCTAGTTACTAAAGATGAGCGAAGTATTCAAAAATTCGATTCGGCTGATTCGGCGAATTCGATTCGAGTCGAATATACTCGCTGCGAATTTAACTTATAAAAAGGGTGTTTCTAGGCTTCAGAGAGCCATTATATTAGTGCAGAACACTGTACCTTTAATTTAAATGCCCTTGGAGTCTGCTGGGGAAGAGAAATAATACTGTCAGTCAGTATGACATGCAGATGAGTGCCGTCGATCTTAGAATCACCGCACACTTCACTCATTTGGGCAGTCACGGGGCCAAAACCAGAGTGTGGAGCCTCAGTGTGGCGGTGGAGGCAGCAGCAATGGGAGGCCATACAGCACCCTATGACAAAATGGAACCCACCAGCAGTGTGAGGAGACCTGAAAGTGGCACATGGCAGAGTGTGGCGATGGAGACAGCAGCAATGGGAGGCCGTACAGGGACCCATGAGACACTCTGGACCTGGCAGCAGCATGAGGAGGCGGTACGGGGGCCCATGGCAGATTACGGGCCTGGCAGCAGCAATGGGAGGCCCGTAATCTGCCAGCACCCTATGACAAAATGGAACCCACCAGCAGTGTGAGGAGACCTGAAAGTGGCACATGGCAGAGTGTGGCGATGGAGACAGCAGCAATGGGAGGCCGTACAGGGACCCATGAGACACTCTGGACCTGGCAGCAGCATGAGGAGGCGGTACAGGGGCCCATGACAGATTACGGGCCTGGCAGCAGCATGAGGAGTCGGTAGGGGCCCATGGCAGATTACGGGCCTGGCAGCAGCAATGGGAGGCCCGTAATCTGCCAGCACTCTATGACAAAATGGAACCCACCAGCAGTGTGAGGAGACCTGAAAGTGGCACATGGCAGAGTGTGGCGATGGAGACAGCAGCAATGGGAGGCGTACAGGGACCCATGAGACACTCTGGACCTGGCAGCAGCATGAGGAGGCGGTACGGGGGCCCATGGCAGATTACGGGCCTGGCAGCAGCAATGGGAGGACCGTAATCTGCCAGCACCCTATGACAAAATGGAACCCACCAGCAGTGTGAGGAGACCTGAAAGTGGCACATGGCAGAGTGTGGCGATGGAGACAGCAGCAATGGGAGGCCGTACAGGGACCCATGAGACACTCTGGACCTGGCAGCAGCATGAGGAGGCGGTACGGGGCCCATGGCAGATTACGGGCCTGGCAGCAGCAATGGGAGGCCCGTAATTTGCCAGCACCCTATGACAAAATGGAACCCACCAGCAGTGTGAGGAGACCTGAAAGTGGCACATGGCAGAGTGTGGCGATGGAGACAGCAGCAATGGGAGGCCGTACAGGGACCCATGACACACTCTGGACCTGGCAGCAGCATGAGGAGGCGGTACGGGGGCCCATGACAGATTACGGGCCTGGCAGCAGCAATGGGAGGCCCGTAATCTGCCAGCACCCTATGACAAAATGGAACCCACTAGCAGTGTGAGGAGACCTGAAAGTGGCACATGGCAGAGTGTGGCGATGGAGACAGCAGCAATGGGAGGCCGTACAGGGACCCATGAGACACTCTGGACCTGGCAGCAGCATGAGGAGGCGGTACGGGGGCCCATGGCAGATTACGGGCCTGGCAGCAGCAATGGGAGGCCCGTAATCTGCCAGCACCCTATGACAAAATGGAACCCACCAGCAGTGTGAGGAGACCTGAAAGTGGCACATGGCAGAGTGTGGCGATGGAGACAGCAGCAATGGGAGGCCGTACAGGGACCCATGAGACACTCTGGACCTGGCAGCAGCATGAGGAGGCGGAACGGGGGCCCATGGCAGATTACGGGCCTGGCAGCAGCAATGGGAGGCCTGTAATCTGCCAGCACCCTATGACAAAATGGAACCCACCAGCAGTGTGAGGAGACCTGAAAGTGGCACATCGCAGAGTGTGGCGATGGAGACAGCAGCAATGGGAGGCCGTACAGGGACCCATGACACACACACTCTGGACCTGGGCAGCAGCATGCATGAGGAGGGCGGTACAGGGGCCCATGACAGATTACGGGCCTGGCAGCAGCAATGGGAGGCCCGTAATCTGCCAGCACCCTATGACAAAATGGAACCCACCAGCAGTGTGAGGAGACCTGAAAGTGGCACATGGCAGAGTGTGTTGATGGAGACAGCAGCAATGGGAGGCCGTACAGGGACCCATGACACACTCTGGACCTGGCAGCAGCATGAGGAGGCGGTACAGGGGCCCATGACAGATTACGGGCCTGGCAGCAGCAATGGGAGGCCCGTAAGCTGCCAGCACCCTATGACAAAATGGAACCCACCAGCAGTGTGAGGAGACCTGAAAGTGGCACATGGCAGAGTGTGGCGATGGAGACAGCAGCAATGGGAGGCTGTACAGGGACCGATGAGACACTCTGGACCTGGCAGCAGCATGAGGAGGCGGTACAGGGACCCATGACACACTCTGGACCTGGCAGCAGCATGAGGAGGCGGTACAGGGGCCCATGAAAGATTACGGGCCTGGCAGCAGCAATGGGAGGCCCGTAATCTGCCAGCACCCTATGACAAAATGGAACCCACCAGCAGTGTGAGGAGACCTGAAAGTGGCACATGGCAGAGTGTGGCGATGGATACAGCAGCAATGGGAGGCTGTACAGGGACCCATGAGACACTCTGGACCTGGCAGCAGCATGAGGAGGCCGTACAGGGACCCATGACACACTCTGGACCTGGCAGCAGCATGAGGAGGCGGTACAGTGGCCCATGACAGATTACGGGCCTGGCAGCAGCAATGGGAGGCCCGTAATCTGCCAGCACCCTATGACAAAATGGAACCCACCAGCAGTGTGAGGAGACCTGAAAGTGGCACATGGCAGAGTGTGGCGATGGAGACAGCAGCAATGGGAGGCCGTACAGGGACCCATGACACACTCTGGACCTGGCAGCAGCATGAGGAGGCGGTACGGGGGCCCATGGCAGATTACGGGCCTGGCAGCAGCATGAGGAGTCGGTACGGGGGCCCATGGCAGATTACGGGCCTGGCAGATGACGATGAGGCTGGCAAGTGCGATCAGCCTCATCATCATCAATTAGGGTCTCCGCCTCACTACTAGCCCCCTTGGCTGCGTGTGGGTCAGGAGACAGACCTGTCTCTAGACCGGCTACCGAGCCACTCTCCTCGCCAGTACTTCTTCGCCTGGCTGCTGAAGAGGCGGATGTCTCCCCCCGTTCCTGACCGCCCTCTGTTAGCTCTTCCTCACTGTACAGTGGGGCTGAGCCCACAGCATGCGATACTTCTCTTGGTGAGGGAACACCAAAGGACAGGGGCAGGTAGAGGACACGTGATTTCAGTGGGCTTGCTCCCGGGCCATGCCAACTAACGGTTGTGTCTGACGTACCCACCGACCGTTGGCTGTAGGTGTCAGAGGTGACCTGGGAAGAGGAAGACGACCGAGCCAACCAATCGATGACGGCAGGGTTGTCGGTGGAGACACGACCGCTGGATGACACCGGGAGCACTGGCCTCTGGCTGCGACTAGTGCTGCCTCGACCCCTCCTCTGCTGCCACGTCTGCTCGCTCCTGAGAAACATTGCCTCCTCTGCCACTCCTCTGCGTGTTGTCTGACATACTCTTTAATTCAACGATTCTGTGTCCCTGAGTACAATTCTGTGTCCCTGAGTAACAATTCTGTGTCCCTCAGTAACGATTCTGTGTGTCCCTGAGTAACAATTCTGTGTCCCTGAGTAACAATTCTGTGTCCCTGAGTAACAAAATTCTGTGTCCCTCAGTAACGATTCTGTGTCCCTCAGTAACAATTCTGTGTCCCTGAGTAACAATTCTGTGTCCCTCAGAGTAACAATTCTGTGTCCCTGAGTAACAATTCTGTGTCCCTGAGTAACAATTCTGTGTCTGTCCCTGAGTAACAATTCTGTGTCCCTCAGTAACAATTCTGTGTCCCTCAGTAACAGTAAATTCTGTGTCCCTGAGTAACAATTCTGTGCTGTGTCCCTGAGTAACAATTCTGTGTCCCCTGAGTAACAATTCTGTGTCCCTGAGTAACAATTCTGTGTCTGTCCCTGAGTAACAATTCTGTGTCCCTCAGTAACAATACTGTGTCCCTGAGTAACAATTCTGTGTCCCTGAGTAACAATTCTGTGTCCCTCAGTAACAATTCTGTGTCCCCTGAGTAACAATTCTGTGTCCCTGAGTAACAATTCTGTGTCCTGTCCTGAGTAACAATTCTGTGTCCCTGAGTAACAATTCTGTGTCCCTGAGTAACAATTTTGTGTCTGTCCCCTGAGTAACAATTCTGTGTCCCTGAGTAACAATTCTGTGTCCCTCAGTAACAAATTCTGTGTCCCTGAGTAACAATTCTGTGTCCCTGAGTAACAATTCTGTGTCCCTCAGTAACAATTCTGTGTCCCTCAGTAACAATTCTGTGTCCCTCAGTAACAATTCTGTGTCTGTCCCTGAGTAACAATTCTGTGTCCCTGAGTAACAATTCTGTGTCCCTCAGTAACAATTCTGTGTCTGTCCCTGAGTAACAATTCTGTGTCCCTGAGTAAATTCTGTGTCCCTCAGTAACAATTCTGTGTCTGTCCCTGAGTAACAATTCTGTGTCCCTGAGTAACAATTCTGTGTCCCAGTAACAATTCTGTGTCCCTGAGTAACAATTCTGTGTCTTTCCCTGAGTAACAATTCTGTGTCCCTGAGTAACAATTCTGTGTCCCTGAGTAACAATTCTGTGTCCCTGAGTAACAATTCTGTGTCCCTGAGTAACAATTCTGTGTCCCTGAGTAACAATTCTGTGTCCCTGAGTAACAATTCTGTGTCCCTGAGTAACAATTCTGTGTCCTCAGTAACAATTCTGTGTCCCTGAGTAACAATTCTGTGTGTCCCTGAGTAACAAATGTCTGTGTCCCTGTAACAATTTCAATTCTGTGTGTCCCTCAGTAACAATTCTGTGTCCCTGAGTAACAATTCTGTGTCCCTGAGTAACAATTCTGTGTCCCTGAGTAACAATTCTGTGTCCCTGAGTAACAATTCTGTGTCCCTGAGTAACAATTCTGTGTCCCTGAGTAACAATTCTGTGTCCCTGAGTAACAATTCTGTGTCCCTGAGTAACAATTCTGTGTCCCTCAGTAACAATTCTCTGTGTCCCTGAGTAACAATTCTGTGTCCCTGAGTAACAATTCTGTGTCCCTGAGTAACAATTCTGTGTCCCTGAGTAACAATTCTGTGTCCCTCAGTAACAATTCTGTGTCCCTGAGTAACAATTCTGTGTCCCTGAGTAACAATTCTGTGTCCTGAGTAACAATTCTGTGTTCCTGAGTAACAATTCTGTGTCCCTCAGTAACAATTCTGTGTCCCTCAGTAACAATTCTGTGTCCCTGAGTAACAATTCTGTGTCCCTGAGTAACAATTCTGTGTCCCTGAGTAACAATTCTGTGTCCCTCAGTAACAATTCTGTGTCCCTCAGTAACAATTCTGTGTCCCTGAGTAACAATTCTGTGTCCCTCAGTAACAATTCTGTGTCCCTCTGAGTAACAATTCTGTGTCCCCTGAGTAACAATTCTGTGTCCCTGAGTAACAATTCTGTGTCCCTGAGTAACAATTCTGTGTCCCTGAGTAAACAATTCTGTGTCCCTCAGTAACAATTCTGTGTCCCTCAGTAACTATTCTGTGTCTTTCCCTGAGTAACAATTCTGTGTCCCTGAGTAACAATTCTGTGTCCCTGAGTAACGATTCTGTGTCCCTAAGTAACGATTCTGTGTCCCTAAGTAACGATTCTGTGGCCCTAAAGTCTCTCTGGCCCTAACTCTGTCCCTAATACAGACAGGTCTGTCTCTCTTGAATGACCGGAGGCTAATTGAGAATTGTAAGATGGCCGCAATTTATAGCTCCACCATTACACAGTGCTGGCTGGCTGGCTGCTGATTGGCTAATGCGATCACATGTCATGAATGAATGCATTATGGGTCAGCGCGCCTTGTCTGCGCGCCTTCCCAGAGATCCCCACACTCCGTCGCCACACATGTCGCCGCCATTTTTGGGAAAATTTGATTCGTGCATCCGAAGTTGGCTAATTTTCGGATTCGGCGCGAATCGAATATTTCCCAATATTCGAAACGAATTCCACTTCGCCATGTTCGATTCGCTCATCTCTACTAGTTACATCAGAGGCTATATGTAAGGGTTTACAAACCACTTTAAAGAAAATTGTAGTAAGGGAGTATGGAGGCTGCCATTGACATCTGAGAATAATAGTTCCCTGGTTGTCATGCTGGTTTAACGACTTTAGTGCATTTTAAGCGATTGGCTCAATACAATTGAGAAGATTTGTATCTCTGATTTCACTCTAGCTCCCCTGATCTGCATTCTTGTTTCAGATGTACATAACACCAGGGATGGGTCCTAAATAGAAGATATATTTCCCCGAAATTTTGGTTGTGGTCCCTTTAAGGGAGAGTTCAATGGACATTTTTAGCGCTCAAGGGTTCTCACCCAGGCAGGATGAGGAATTTTAGAGTAGTTTGGCCAGAGAGGAGAGGACTGATCACAGTAGTTTCTTGATTGGCAATAGAGAATGCTTTATGGCTCCTGTATCATTTGCTTGGCCCTACCTAGTCTCCAGATTGTCTTGATACTGACCATTGCTTGGATAGAGAATCCGTTGTCAATTGCCCTGACCTTTGCTGGATAGCGAATTACCCTACTGATAGCTGCCAACCCCGACTATTGCCAGAATACCAGGTTACACTTCTGATTTCTGCCTGCCCTGACTTTCTTTCTGGATAATAACCTATGTTACTGTCTGCTGTTAGCTCAGACCACTGCTAGCTTGGCGACCCACCAGTCCTGGTACAGTACATGAACTCTTTCTTTGGGTTGCTAGGGAATATCCCAGTCTTGCGAATATAGTACTGTGCCTTAAGTTCTGGGAGCATTCAAGTACCTGCAGCCATACCAACCTTAAGGGAAAAGCTGCTTCTATATATGAAACTATGCAGAGCCTCGCTATTTTTGCAGAACAGGGTACAATCCAGTTAACCATAACTCACTGTAAGATTGTAAAATTTCATATTTCATGATATAATCTTATAGTAAGTTACAGTTTGGGGCAACAGAGGTTTTCAGTAGGATCATTACAGCTAGGGGTCTATTTATAAATAAAATGTTGCTGTACAAAATGTGACAAATATTCACAAAGCTGCAACAAAAAAACACTGTATTTTGCCTAACATGCTTATTTCCTATGAATGTCTGAGCCATCTAGTGGCCATAAATCATTATTTTCCTGACTGAAGTATTTACAGAAAAATACCATTTTGTGGTCACTAGATGAGCCTGACTATGGCAGGACATATTTATATTAGACAAAAAAATTAGATTTTTCAGCGTGAATGTTTGTTATATTCGTATAGCTAATTCCTTATTAATTGATTCCATAGCGTGACCTACAAGAATTTTTTATGACATACAGCTGCAAAAAATGTCCAGGCAGTGGGCAGTGCAGTGGCTATGCTTCTTTGATATCTGAATATAATTTATACCATGAGAACTCAGGGACAGGATACTTCTGTACCAGAAAGTGTATACAGTAAATGGAGTTACAGGTCATTCCTGTAGCTCTGGGAGAAAGGCGTTTAGTGCTATGCTGTCAATGATCTCCAGGGCAGAGAAATATGTTTTTAAAAACAGCAATTTTTCAGTTGCTGTAAATTTGTTTTGTCATGAATTCATGTTTCATTATTTGTATTTTGAAATGGAAATTATATAATCTTACCCTGTGAAAATAGGCATTGTTGTCAGTCAGTCGTGCATGTACTCCACCCTTTAGGTCAGCAATGGGTAAACTACGGCCCGCGGG